TCGGGGGTGGGGGTGGGGGGCTGAGGGCAGCGGAGCTAGTCTAGGGGCCACTTACCCTCGCCCGGCTGTGCGAGATGCTCTGGGGCCACGGCAAGGGCGGCACAGGGGACAAAATGGGGGTGGGGGGTGAGCGTTGGGTGCCTGCGTGCCACCCTCACCCCATCCCTGCCCCCCACTCACCCTGCTCCTTCTTGAACTCGTTCTCACTCATGAAGACGGGGGCCATGAGCTCGCCCACGGGCGGCTGGATGGAGACGTAGAAGTGGCGTGTGTGGGTGCTGGAGAGACACGGAGTAGGAGGTCGGTGGGGGGCACATGCTCAAAATGCCCACCCACCCCCCACCGCCACAGCTGCATGCTTCCCACCCCTGCCCCGGGCAGGGGGTGGCTGGAGGGAAACTGAGGCACAAAAGGCCTTGGGAACCGGAGGAACCCATCAGGCTTGGCCTGGAGCTGCTGCCACCTCTTCGTCCCCTTCAGGGAGCCCCTGACCACCCTGTGCCAATCCCAGCGTTGCCCCTCCCCTGGAAGGACCTCAGTGCTTGTCCTGCTGTCTCCCACCCCCTGGATAGACCCTGTCCCACTGTCCCCATGTCCCCTGGGGCACCCCATGCTCTCTCTTGCCATCCTCCATCCCCTGGTGCATCCTGTCCTCTGTCCTGCTGTCCCCCGGGGCACCCCATCCCTTGTCCTGCTGTCCCCCATCCCCTGGTGTACCTCACACCTCATCCTGCCGTCACCTGCTCTCTGCCGCTCCATGTCCCTTGGGGGAATTTTGGTGTCCATCCCTCTTGCCCTACCCCTGGGACACCCATCAGTGTCATGCCCAGTGCCGGGGTGCTCACCACAGCTGGAAGTTGGCCGCCTGGGTGGAGTCGCAGAAGTCAATGCCCATCACCACGTTGGCCGTGTCACCGGGCGCCAGGAGCTCTGAAACCACAGCGTTGCCACCATGTCCCACATCCTCTCCACCAGCCAACCCTCGTCCCCGTCCCCTTCCGCCTCACGCCTGTGTGCCGTGCCACGCTGTACCGATCTCGGGGAACTCCTGGATCCGCATGCCCGAGAGTGGCTTGGGCTCACTGACCCGCAGGTTCTTCACCTCGGCGTCGGTGTTGTTGGAGATCTGGATCTGGACGGCCACCATGTGGGGGTCCCCCGGGAAGGGCCGTCGGTTGAAGCAGTACTC